ATATCTCAATGATAACCTTGAATGTAGATGGCCTAAACTCATCAATCAAAAGACATAGACTGGCAGATTGGATTAAAAAATAAGACCAACAATATGGGGTCTCCAAGAGACTCAACACATAGGCAAAGACATCTACAGACTGAATGTAAAAGCATAGGAAAAAACATACCATTCACATGGATTACATACACAGGCAGGGGTTTCTATCCTCATATCAGGTAAAGTAGACTTCAAGCCAACTTAATCAGAAGGAAAAAATAAGGACATTTTATACTGCTTATGGGAATCATGCATCAATATGACATAACATATGTATCCCCCAAATAATGGTGCATCTATGTACATCAAACAAACCCTTCTCAGTTTCAAAAAGTAAATAGACAACAACACAATAATACTGGGTGACTTTAACACACCTCTCTCACCACTGAATAGATCTCCAAACTAATACTAAATAAAGAAGCTATAGAACTAAAAAAAAAATAATGATTAAGACTTAAAAGACATATAGAGAATATTTCATCCATCAAAGACTGAATACACTTTCTTCTCAGCAGTATATAAATCCTTCTCTAAAATAATGTTAGCTTAGGCCACAAAGCAAATCTTAGCAAATACAAAAAAATAAAGATAATACCTTGCATCTTTATCATATCATAATGGAATTAAATTAGAAATCAAAGATAAAATAAAATCTAGAAGCTACTCTTAACACCTGGAGAATAAATAATATGCTATTGAATGATAGCACAGATATCAGAATGCGTAACAGAAAAAAATCAGGAATGAAATTTTAAAAATACTTACAGATAAATGACTATGGAAATACAATATATCAATATCTCTGGGACACCATGAAGGCAGTGCTAAAGTTCATTGCATTGAGCTCATTCATTAAAAGAATAGAAATCAACAAAAATATAACCTAACATAACATCTCAAAGCCCTAGAAAAAGAAGAACAAATCAACACCAAAAGTAGTAGATGGTAGCAAATAATTATAATCAGAGTTGAAATCAATGAAATTGAAAGAAAAGAAACAATCCAAACAATCAGCAAAACAAAAAGTTGGGTATTTGAAAAAAATTAGAAAATTTGATAAACCCTTAGCCAGGCTATCAAAGAGAAAGAAAGAAAACTCAAATTACAAAATTCACCATAAAAAAAATCACAATAGACACTACTGAAATACAGATGAAAATCAGAAGCTATTTTAAAAATTTATACTCTAATAAAATAGAAAGACATGCACAAATTTCTAGAGACATATTACCTACCCAATTGAATCAGGAAGACATAGAAAATTTAAACAGAACAATTTCAAGCAAAAAAAATAGAACATTCCATCAAAACCTTCCAAGAAAGACAAGCACAGGACATGACAGATTCTCAGCTGAGGTCTACAAGACTATCAAAGAAGACCTAAAACCAGTCCTCCTCAAATTATTCCATGAAGTAGAACAGGAGGGAACCCTTCCAAACTCATTCTATGAAGCTAGTGTCACTCTGATACCAAAACCAGACAAAGACGTATCAAGGACAGAAACTTCAGACCAATATCCTTGATGAACATAGATGCAAAAATTCTTAATAAAATACTGGCAAATTACATACAAAAACATATTTAAAAGATAGTGCACATGATCAAGTGGGTTGATTCCAGGGATGCAAGGTTGGTTCAACATATGGAAATCAATAAATGTAATTAATCACATCAATAGTTTTAAAGACAAGAATCACATGATTACCTCAATGGATGCAGAAAAAGCATTTGACAAAATACAACATCCATTCATGCTCAAAACACTAGAAAAACTAGGAATACTAGGAACATAGCTCACATTGTGAAAGCTATATAAGCTACACCTTAGGCCAACATTATTCTAAGTGGAGAAAAATTGGCAGCTTTCCCTCTAAAAACTGAAACAAGGCAGAGATGCCCTCTTTCACTACTGCTATTCAACATAGTCCTGGAGATCTCGCCAGAGCAATAGAAGAAAGAAATTAAGGGATAAAAATAGGAAAAGAAGTACTCAAACTATCCCTATTTGCAGATAACATGATTCTATATTTAGAAAGCCCAAAAACTCCACCAGAAAACTTATAGAACTCATAATAAATTCAGCAAAGTAGTAGGATATCAAATTAACACCCCGTAAATCAAATGTGTTACTATACATCAGTGATGAATCAACTGAAAGAGAAATTTGGAAAACTATCCCATTGACAGTTGCCACACGAAAAAATTGGGGAATCAATCCAACAAAGAAATGAAAGACTTCACAATGAAAACTACAGAACACTAAAGAAAGAAATTGAAGAAGACCTTAGAAGATGGAAAGATCTCCCATGTTCTTGGATAGGCAGAATTAATATTGTCAAGATGACCATACTTCCGAGAGCACTATACAGATTTGATGCAATTCCTATTAAAGTTTCAATGACGTTTTTCATAGAAATGGAAAAAGCAGTCATGAAATTTAGATTTTTAAGGCAAAATAAAAATAAGAAGCCAAAAATAGACAAAGCATCTTTAACAAAAAAAAGAAGCAGGAGTCATCAAAATACCAGACTTCAAATTATACTACAGAGCCACAGTAACTAAAACAGCATGGTATTGCAACAAAAACAGACATGAAGACTAATGGAACAGAATAGAAAACACAGAGATAAATACAGTAATCTCATTCTAAACAAAGTCTACATAAACATACATTGGAGAAAAAATAGCCTCTTCAATAAATGGTGCTATGAAAACTGGAAATCCATATGCAACAAAATGAAACTAGACCCCTATCTCTCATTCTGCACAAAACTCAACTCAAAGTGGAACAAAGTCTTAGGCACTAGAACAGAGACCCTGCACCTAATGGAAGAAAAAGTAGGCCCAAATCTTTACCATGTCAGCTTAGGGTCTGACTTCCTCAACAAGACCCCTAGAGCAACAAGAAGTAAAATCAAGAATCAATAAATGTGATGAATTCATACTCAAAGCTTCTTCTCAGCAAAAGAAACAATCAATGATGTGAAGAGAGAGCCTCCGGAATGGGAGAAAATCATTACCACCTGCACCTCAGATAGAGCATTAATCTCCAGGACATATAAAGAACTCAAAACACTTCACAACTTAAAAACAAATAACCCAATCAAAAAATGGGCAAAGGAACTGAACGGACACTTCAAAGAAGAAGAAATACAATGGTCAACAAATATATAAAAAAAATTTAACATCACTAGCAATTAGAGAAATGCAAATCAAAACTTCACTGAGATTTTATCTCACTCCAGGAAGAACAGCAATTATCAAAAATACAACAAACAATAAATGTTGGTAAGGATGTGGGGGAAAGATACATTCATATATTCCTAGTAGGACTACAAATTGGTGCAACCACTCTGCAGAGTGGTATGGAGATTACTCAGAAAACTTGGAATGGAATAACCATTTAACTCAGCTATCCCACTACTCAGTTTATATACAATGGATTTAATATCAGCATACTATACTGATGTGGCCACATCACTGTTCATGACAGCTCAATTCGCAGTATCTAAGCTATGGAACCAATCTGAGTGCTCTTCAATAGATGAATGGATAAAGAAAATGTAGTAAATATACACAACATAATATCAGTCATAAAGAGATAGATATTATGACATTTGCCAATAAATGGATGAAACGGGAAGCCATCAGATTTAGTGAAGGAGACAATCCCAAAAAACTAAAGGCCAAATGTTCACTCTGATATGTGGATGCTGACTCACAATAGGCAGAGGGGAGGCAGGAGTGGAGGTTCACACTATTGGTCAGGGAGAAATGGGGATATGGTGGAGAGATGGGAATGGGAATGGGAAAGACAGTACAATGAATCAGACACAACTTTCCTCTATTCATATATGAATACATGACTTGTGTAACTCCACATCATGTACAAATACAAAAATGGGAAGTTATACTCTATATATGTATGATATGTCAAAGAACATTCTACTCCCATGTTTCATTAAAAAGAACAAATTTTTTTAAAAGCACAGAGATGTTCCAAACGAACAATATTTTTGAGTTCATGATTCTTTCTTTCTTTCCATGCTGGGGGAATCATCAGGGTCATTTATGTAGCAAATGGTAGTGGGATGTCAGAAAGGTAGATCTCTGAACAGTGCACAAAGACTATTACTTTGGCTCTCTGGCATTGGATTCCAATTCACATGATATCATTCATTTATTAAACAGAATATCATTGGGAGAAAAAAACCTTCTTCCATTTCTGCATGGTTTAAACAAAGCAGACTGCCAAACTGATCCAAAGGCGATGACCTACTGGTTTCAGTTCCTCTGATCAACTTTACAAACAACCAAAGTGATTGGCAGATAATACTTTTCTAAATGACAGCAACTGTGTGTCTCCCATCCCACCAGCTTTTCTTACAGCATCATTTAATGCCCGCTCTTCAGGCAAGGTCTGTCCCTGGTTTTACTCTGGGTGGGGTTGAGATTTGTGCAAGCAATGAAATATGGTAGAGTTGATACCACCTGGCTTTAAACTGTGGGTGAAAAAAGAACACAACTTCTGCTTCTTTGCAATTAGAGAGAATGGTCTCTCTGGAGAAGCCAATCATCATGTTGCAAGGAACAAACCCCTTCAGGGAGACCACATTGGCAGAACCTCCTGGAGAGGAAAGGAAGTTCCCAGGTGACAGCCAGCATAAGCATTGACCTGTGAGGCAGGGAGCCTTCAGATGATTCCCCTCTCTGCATCTCAAGACCAGCCTGCTGACACAGAGTGGAGCAGAGACAAGCTATCCTCAGCAACCATGACCAAACTGGGCTTCCTGGGCAAAGGATATGTCATTGTTGTTTTGAACACTGAGCACATGGGTCACTGGGGAACACTGTCTTCAGCATTGCTCCCACCCCATTCTGCCCATCCCTGTAACATCAACCCCACCATCTTATCTATTCACTAATATTTTCTTCTTTTCTGCCACAGCCAAAGAATTTCATCTCCAATATCCTAAGTCTTATGAAGAAAAGGGTTTCAACAAATTATCATCCTTCCATGATCATCATTCAATGAGAACCACAGAAATAAACATATTTCTGAGGCCACAGGACTCACTTTAGCCAATGTTTAGCACCTATAGCACCCCATATTGTGACCATGTGTTTCTGTTTTCTGCTTCTGTGGTCAGCACTGAATCAAGAGTGGTGGGTGCTTAGGTGTGGCTAAAGTCTAACTCAAGCATCAGATCTTGATCAGACAGTGAGGCAAGGGTGAGATCATCTCAGACGAAAAAGCCCCCACACACCAGAAGAGAACACTGGGAGTTTAAAGACCAGGACGACACAACAACATCTTTGACCAGAGAGGCCTTCCTGGGAAGATGAAGCCACTCCTGCTCCTGTTGGTCTTTCTTCTGTGCCCAAGGGCAGAGGCAGGTGAGTGACTATCCCCAACAACTGAAGGCCAACCCCAGGCTCAGCCCTGCTCAGATGCTGCACCCCACCATCCTGGCTTATGTGTACCTCCAGCAACTTTCTGCTTAGCAAGGTAAACCTCACCCAAAGACTGGCAGGTCTCATGGGGATGGAAGCACAAGGGAGGAGTAGGGCAGAAGGCTGGTCTCCATAAGAGGCACTGGGGAACCTTCCCCTTCCCCAGCTCTACCTTTACCATCTGGATAGCAGGATCTTTCACAAAGACATATGAAAAAATAATTCCCCATAGAGAAAGGGGAGAAAGGTGCTGGCTTCTGTGGTCAAGGTAAGGTTCACTAATTTCTAAATTAATGTCTTAAAATCTACCCTCAATCTCCACCTGCTCCTCCAAACTTTATCATTCTCACACTGCACAGGAATGCAGCCATTTGATCTCAGAGTCATGGGCATTCTCGTCCCCTTAACAGTTACATGTGCCTTGATTCAGCCCCATGTTCTCTCAGGTCATTTTCAGTTACAGATGGGTGCAATGGCTTTGTCAGAACCCATCTTCCCTGATGCTCACAATCTCACCAGCACTACCCCTCCAAACCTCAGCCACAGGATACTCAGGAGCCATTCCTTCACACAGCCAAGACCTTTACTGGGCACCTACTTGGTGTCTGGCTCCAGCAGACAAATATAAAACATGACACAGCATCCTGACTTTATGTGCAGAACCCAGTAGGAGCTCAGTGGGATCTAAGGAGGAAAGAAGACTGAGACACTTCAGAGGAAGGACTGACAAGGATCTGTAGGGACTTTGCTACTTGTTCCAAACTCAAATCCTGTCAGTCAACATTGACATCTAAAGCAAGGACTGCCCTGCTCTTGGTCAGAGGGAGTATCTGAGTCTTGTGGGTCACTCTTCAAGCCAGGAATGCTGCCTGACAAACACTCAGGGCCCCATGTTTGCTGCTGCTGGCTACTTAGACCCTGACCCTAGGGACATGTATAAGGGCTTGAGCAGCCAGGGCTACATAGCAAGTGAGGAGACCAGGGGCAGGGCCAGAACAAAGGAGCATGGAGAGGGTCTTCTGATGAGGTCAACTTCCTGCTTGAAAAAGTGCTTTTGCACAAATGGAGGGGACCTATCAGACAGACACTTCTGTGCTTATGCTCCGAAGTGGGGGATTCAATAGTAAAACTAAAACAGATATGTGTACTGATGGGACACCAATCAATAATAGTGAGGAGAAGGTAAACAGGGAAGGGGGTAAGGAAAGAAAGGAAATTTCAGAGACCATAAAAGAATAAGGGAAACTATCCCACCAGATTCCCAGCTCTGGGAATGTCTGGGGACATTCTCTTCAGAGAAATCTGCCTGATGCTCTTGCAATAAACCTGCTGCTTGCTTGCTCTCTCTGCATGCTGTTGGTCAATTCTTTGCTTATCAAGGCCAATGAACCCCGCACCCCTAGATGGTAATACCACCACACTCAATCCTTCCCTCCCTGGAGTTGATCCCAGTCTCCTCTCTTCAGCCTTTGGCTCCATCAGCACCAAGGGCAGGACAGAACTTTTCTTTCAGGCAAAATCATTGGGGGCCAGGAAGCTGTGCCTCATTCTCATCCCCACATGGCATTTCTTCGTATCCAGACTCTAAACACAACAGAACGATGTGGGGGTTTCCTTGTATGTGAGGACTTTGTTGTAAATGCAGCCCACTGCTGGGGAAGGTAAGTTGACCTTTCTAGAGAAAACTCCACAGGGTTTTTTTCCCCTTCTTTGGGGATGAAGACAAGAGCTCTGTGGAGGGCAGGTAAGCTCTGGGGAGAGAGGAGCAGGTCAGTGCAGGTGGCTTGTTATACAAAGGGAGAACGTGGATCAAGGCTGGATGGGAAGGAGGCAGATTTTCCCCAAGAGCCCAGAGTGCACATGTGAGAAATTCAAAGTCTCACCTGGAGACACCTGAGCTCTGTGCATGACTGAGCACACTCCATCTGCTCCAGGAACTGCACCAGCCCTGGCTGCCAGAGACACTCAGCCCAGAGTCCTGTTCCCCTACACGTCCTCCCAACTCCACCCTGCCCGGGCCTAAGCTAACCATTTTTCCTTCAGGAATCCTGAGCTGTATCCCCTGTGACTCTACCTCCCTCTCTGCTCTTGGTGCAGTTCCATCAATGTCACCCTGTGGGCCCACAATATCAAAGAGAAAGAGAGGTCCCAGCAGATCATCCCTGTAAAAAAAGCCTTCCCCCACCCAGATTACAACAGCAACTATTCCAATGACATCATGTTACTGCAGGTAAGGCATGTCATTCCAATGGGTCTTGCACACTTTAATCCTGGAAGAATAAATCCTCATGTCCTTCTGTCCAACCATCCTTCCTAAAATGAAGCCTTCACTTGTCCCAGTGCCATGAAGATGGCAACCCCATGACTGTGTGGATTTTCGTGAGCGGTGGGTTGATCAGAATTTCCTTTATCTGCCTTTAGTTGGAAAATAAGGCCAAGCTGACTGCTGAGGTGAGCCTCCTCAAGTTACCCTCAGAAAATTCCCAGGTTACACCAGGGATGGTGTGCACTGTGGCCAGTTGGGGACGCATTGGCCAAAACATATCCACAACGAAACTGCATGAGGTACAGCTTGAAATCCAAAAGGACAAGGAATGTCTCTCTCATTTCAAAGAACCATACAACTCCACCATCCAGATTTGTGTGGGGAACCCAAAAGAGAAGAAGGCTTCCTTTAAGGAAAGTTCACCTGTATTGGCTATTCCCTGCCTTGGACACAGCAGAGTTTGATGAAATCCAGGGCAAAGGGAACTAATCATACCCCTGTGTACTAAGCCTTTCACCAATTCAGTCTCTGGTCCTGGGGTCAGTGGAGACTGACTGCCCTTTGGTCACTTCATGGACAGAGACTTACTGGAGAAGGAGCATCAGTCAACTGGAAGGAATAGTCAGGGTCAGGCTGGAGCCCCCTACCTGGGGAGGGGACAGTATGGGACCTGGAGCAGGCCTGCTAAGGCTGTCCTTTCTCTGCCCACAGGGAGACTCAGGAAGTCCCTTTGTGTGTAAAAATGTGGCCCAGGGCATTGTGTCCTTTGGGCAAAAGGAGGGGACACCTCCAAGTGTCTACACGGGATCTCAAGCTTTCAGCGCTGGATGGAAAAAACAATGAAATTCTTCAAACTCCAGGCACAAGACTGAGAGGCCTCCAGGATTGACTTTCATCTTCTCTTGAACAAAGCCCCAAAGTGTACTGGGTGGAGGAGTCGAGGGGAGACTGCCGGGTGCTTAATAAACTTTCATCTCTAGAACAGAAGTGCTAGATTCCTCCTTTCTTCACCAGCATAACATTCTGTAAGGTGCTGACTGTATGTCCAGCAGGAACTGCTCACATTTATGATTCCTTACATTCTTCCCCTCAGGCACACTCCACCTTCCACCTCTAGAATATAAAACCTTGCTATGTTGATACTGGCTCCAAATTAGTGTTCAATGCCAGCTCCCTGCAGCAGGCTGAGTTTAAGCTACCCAGGAAAAAAGGACCCTCTCTAGACAAAACTCATTCCTACAGTGCCATCTTACCTCATTCTGTACCTACATTCCTGCCCTACCCACCTTCAGGGCCAATATGAAGACACAAAAGAACCCAGATTTGGAAAAGAAATTGCATAATTCCCACCCTAATGGTAATCGGTAGGAGCCTTTTGGAAAGGTGTTTCATGCAGGGCTCCCTCTCCAAGTCAGCACAACTGGCAGCTTGGAAGCATAAACAGTTTCAGGAAGAATTTTCAGTGTCCCCAGATGCACCTTAAGTGTCTGTCACTGCCCTGTCATGGGGCCAGAGCCCAGTGCAGTGTCTGGTCTCCTGAGAGCCCATCCTCCCCTCAAATGACCTTCCATCTTAGTCTGAGCCAGCTTCTCTCCACCTCCCATGTCCAGGTTCCCTGGAATCCTGTGAGGATCCAAGCACCCTTTCTATCTGTGTTTACCAAGATTCTTATCCTTGATGAACCTTGAGCACTAGCTCACCTTCTGCCCCATTCATAAAGGACCAGGAGGCAGGGTATGTCCTCAGAACTCTAGTTTCTGAACAGTTGTTTAAAAACAATCCTGAATGATAACCTAGACTTAGAAAATAGCTTTCACCTGGGTCAAAGCCATGTGATTCAACAGAGCCCAACAAAGACAGATCACACTCAGCCGCCTGATCCCTTATAGGCTCTTCCTTTTGGACACCACTGACAGTCTGGCCTCTGGAACAGAACTCACTGATTGGTACTCTGGACTATAACGTCCATCTAAGTGAGACAGCCTGCCTCTGTAGCAGGACCAAAGCAGTATTCTGCATCAACCAATACATCAGTGCTCCTTGAGCAAATACTGTGTGCCAGGCAGTAGGGTCCCTGCAAAGCAGCAGTCATCATGGAATCCATATGGTTTTTCTGTGGCTTTCCTGCATCTGAGCTTAAAATTTACAAGAATCACAGTCATCTTTTTTTTTTCAAGATAATAAAACTTATTTGAATTGTCCTGATGTTACATGGTACAGTTCGGGGGTGCATTATCACAGCAGACCCAAGAATTGCTGATTATGGGGTCTAGTCTATCATTGGTTAAGAGCATTTCCTCCCAGGAGGCTGGAGGAAGATGGTGAGGGGGAGAGGATTGTGAACAGGACTGTCCTGAGGTAACTTTTTTTTTTTGATCTCTGATTGTTTTTAATTATCTTAAATCTTATGGTAAAAATTTTTACAAATTTGTACTGATGGGTGTATCTCTTTTACCTTAATCTTTCCATCTAATAAGTTGGCAAAAAGCACCACTACCAAACACCTAGATGTTCCAAAGTATTGTTTCTGAACAGTTGTTTAAAAACAATCCTGAATGATAACTTAGACTTAGAAAATAAAGAATTAAAAAGTAAAGTCTAACTTGTTATTGTATTATGCTGACTTAAAAGCATCTGAACTTATGGATCAGCTACAAAATGTGAGAAGTGTTAAATATTCTTTATTTAATATCATACATAAACTACACTAAAATGTCTTTCCATAAGGAAAGAACATCATTTTAGATACAGGGAATTCTAATTAAATTGGCATGGTCAACAAAAATATAAAGTAGACACTGCTTCCTTATCTTCAACCACTGCCTTTAATAGGGTAATGAACACAAATTGAAACAAATGTGAATCATGCTTGGTTCTGAGAGAGTGAAGGGATTTCCCCCATATTTAAACATATTCACATAATCAGTTCTATAAAACTAAATATAAAACCAGTTTTCAGACATCATTCACCATTTTTGTGAAATACTGAACATTACTAATTAAGTCCAACCATAACTTTAAAAAGTGGAAACAGTGATAGAATTTACTGAAGTGGGAATATAACCAAATATTAATTTAACTACAAGTCAGTTTTACTTAAATCAGGATTTAAGTAAAAATATTTTGTCAGTCATTCATGATCTGATTTCTGGTGTATCACATCAATTAAATTATGGTGCACATAAAAAAGCCAAGAGATATTTCTGTTTGGTAATAAATAAGGCAGTAGCTATTACTCATTAGTGGCTTTTTTGAGGTAAACTATTAGGTCTGCCCTTCTCCCTTCTTCTTAATGCCACGAAGACACATTTTTGTTCTAGGGATGTACTTTTTGGGATTCTCCAAATACTCCATCAGTGTATCCTCTCCCCAGGTGATGCCTTTGTTCTTGTTGGCTTCTGTATAAGAGAATCCAGCAGCCTGACCTGTCTTCTGCCCAAACAGTCCATGGAGATTTGGCCCAGTCTTGTGCTTGCCTCCCTTTTCCATGGTGTGGCACTGGGCATATTTCTGAACAAAAATCTTCTTGCCTTTCTCAACATCACCCATTTTTAATTCCTTCTTTCGTCGCTAGCGCAAAGAAAGTTCCCAATCAGAAGCCAGACACCCCACTCTCTAGCCCAAGGACACACCGGTCTGTATCAGTCCTGAGGTAACTTTTTTATTTTAATATTTTTAGTTGTAGATGGACGCAATATTTATTTTTATTTATTTATTTTTATATAGTGCTGAGGATCAAACCCAGTGCTTCGCACATTGCTAGGCAAGTACTCTACCACTTAGCCACAACCCCTGCCCCTGATTTAGCTCTTATGGAGTGAAAATGAACATTGTCAACAAACTCAGATATGAAAAATATTCATATTTTCCTGAAATCTGGGGCCTAACTTTAAGCCTGGGCCAGTGTGAAATGTAACCCTAGTTATTACTGAGACCTAGCCTTCTTACCCACAATTGAACCAAAATAGGCAAACTTACATCTATGTGGAAAATGGAAGCTCCTCTAATCATCAAGACATAACACTTAAAGTCTGACTGAATTGCTGCATGTTAAGCCAGACTGACAAGGACACACCAATCCAACCCTCAGAGATCTTAGCCAGGCTGGTGGTTGCAGCAGAGAGAGCCTGGGCTTCAGGCTACAGTCAACACTTTCCCCTTCCTGCTCCATCACACTCTTTTAGTTTGGGTAAAGCATCTCTCTGCAATCATGATATCCTCAAAAGATGGAATCTTCATCTCTTTGCCCATCGAGCCACTCTCTGGCTTAATCTCTTTCACAGCACACAACTTTTTCAGACACACACCAAAAAAATAAATAAATAAAATAAAAAACCTGCTGAGACAGATACACAAGAAGAACTTGGTTTTCTGCATGTGACAGAAAGCACAAAATGAAAAGAAAAAAATTCAGGCATTTCAAAAGATTACAAACAGGGCATACATTTTCAAATTGGGTGATGCATTTATTTATAGGAATATATTTTGTGACTAGAGTGTATGAAGATAATAAGTGTCACAGGCCCAGAGTCTCCTTTAATGGAAAAAAAAAGCCTAAAAATGAAATATCTGACCCCAGTTGGGTCACACAGACAGTTTCCCACAGAGCAGTGCTAGGCCCAGACCTCCCAACATCAGAGAAGGTCTCTTTCAGTCACGGGATCAGTCCTCCCTCAACTCCTCCTCAGGGCCAGATGCCTTCAAGACCATCTGACACTACCTAATGGCAGTCATCAAGAATACGAACAATAATAAGTTCTGGAGAGAATATGGAGAAAAAGAAACTTTTTTACACTGTTGGTGAGATTGTAAATTAGTACAACCACTATGGAAATGAGTATGGAGGTTCTTCAAAAGTCTAGAACCACCATATGACCCATCTATACTACTCCTCAGTATATATCCTGAAGAATTAAAGTCATCATACTACAGTGACACATGCATACCCATGTTTATAGCAGCACAATTCACATTAGCCAAACTAGAAACCAGCCTAGGAGTCCATCAACAGATAAATGGAGGAAGAAAATGTGGTATATAAACACACTAGAATTCTATTCAGGCATAAGAAAAAAAATGAAATATTTTATTTGCCCAAAAAATGGATGGAACTAGAGACCATTATCTTAAGTGAAATAAGCCAAACTCAGTAGGTCAAGGGTCATATATTTTCTCTCAAATGTGAAAGCTAGAGAGGAAAAAGGAAAAGAAAGTTGGAGGGGATAAAGATCACATGAAAATCAAAGGGAGATCAGGAGAGAAAAAACGACCACAGGAAGAGAGGAGGGAAAGGAAGGGGGAATGCTGGGGAGTAATATTAAATAATATGGTTATATATAGTGTGTGTACAAATATGTAATAACAAATTCCATCATTATGTACAACTATTATACATCAATATAAAAATGTGGAAAGAGCAAAAAGGAAAAAAAAAAACATCTGATACTAACCCCACATGAATTTCTAGCCTCCCAGCCAAAGAGCTTTTCAGCATCTGCTCAGAAAACTCCCTGGAGAGGAAGCTCCTGGCTTGCCAGTCAGCTGCTCTCTGGTAGCTCTAGGCTAAGCGCCTACTCTAGTTGAGCTGCTCACTGGGAAGTTCTCAGCTTGCCAGCTTCCCAGTGCCCTGGACTGTAGGCAACACTGGCTAAATTACTTAACATGTTCTCTAGCTTACAGACAGGGTTGGCTATCTAAGTCTCCATTCCTTAAGTGATTTCTTTCCAAAAGTACAGTCTGGAAAGAAGGAAATAAAAAGAATAACGTTACAGTGAAAATCTGATAAATTACTACCTTGGCCATGTGACGAAGGTCAATGTCAACATTCATAAAGCATGTTGATATCATTATCCAAAGTACATGTATGAAGAATCGAATTGGGTGTCAACATACTTTATATACAGAGATATGAAAAATTGTGGTACGTATGTGTAACAAGAATTGTAATGCATTCTGCGGTCATTTTTTTAAATCCACAAAAACTAAATAAATCATGTTGATAATATGTAACCTTGATTTGGAGAGATGAAGATGGCATTGACCTCTGTAATCTTCCTCCCAAACCCCATAACTCTGCTCCAATTATAAGAGAAACATGAGACAGATCCCAGTACAGGGACATGCTACAAATTCCTGACCAGCATCCCTCAAAACTCTCAAGGTCATTAAAAGCAAGGGGTTCGAGAACTATCACAGCCAAAAGGAGTCAAACTGTAATGTAGTATCCTGGAAGTGATCCTGGATCAGAGAGGGTAAAAACTGAAGAAATCTGAATGAACTATGAACCTTCTTAACAATAATTGATCAATAGAAATTCATTTATGTAACAAATATAGCATACTAATATAAAATATTAATAACCACAAAATTAGATATGGAGTCTATGAAAGCTTTGTGTCATCTTCACAGTTGTTCTGTTAATCTAAACTACTCTAAACAACAGTTTATTAAGAAGTAAAATAACCCAGTAAGAGGAATGCTCTCTCCTTAGAGAGGAATGTGCTCCATATATTATACACTAAAGCTTAAAAGACTTCAACATAGCAGAAAAATACACCAAAATTTTTGTTGTCACTAGTGATCTTAATTTTTGGTTGCTTCACTTTAAAATACATAAATAAAATCACATGCTGCTTATTAAAGTATTTTAATACTCTTGTGAATTGCTTATCATGTTTTATGTTAAGTGACTAAATATAGAATATCAAATAGCATATTTAATATTGTCACAACTATTCAAAATATATGTTATAGAGGAAAATACACAGGTGTGTTTAACCCAAAGGAAACTCATTATAACAAAGATCTGCCTCAAAGATATCTTATAGACTATTGGATATTTTCTACCATTTTTCAATACAAAGGAATCTTATTCTCAAAACTTCCACGTAGGAGGAAAAGACTAAACTGAAATAAGAAGTGGTTTAATGAATGTCTGACACTGATCAGTGTGCTTAGAAAATGGGAAAATGTCCAGATATAAAAGTCATGCATATTTACCATAAAAAGCTAGTTAAATATGGAATATGTAAATGAGAAGAGCAAAGTTTTGGGAGCATCAACATTAATGCTTAAGCATGTCTCCCGCATAGGTGTTGGTAAGATACTTTGTCTTTGGAGCAACTGGAATGTTGATAGTTCTTTCAGTGACTTCTTCCTATCCAATCAGGCCACTTGATTTTGATAGCCTCAATATTCATTTTAATCCAATGAATATCAAGTCCAGGACTTTTGTTCAAAACTGAGATATTAATTTCAAAGAGGAAATTCTAAACATTTAGAAAATATGAGGTTGTGGTGGTGGTAAGACAGGAAGGATTACTATTTGGGTTTTTTGGATATGTCCAACTCCACATATTCCTAGGGCAAGTCAAAACCTCTCTTATTACCAAGCACATTTCACCAGAGCCCTGGCCATCTTTTGCTCTGAGCACAAATTTTCAGTCTGTGCCAATCAATTATCAGCTTTACAAGGGCAGGATCCATGTCTCTCTTATCCATGTATCTACCCTGCCAAACAATTATTCATGATCTTATTAGGATGGAAAAAGACCCAAGAGCTGAGAAAAGAGGACTTTCTTGGTTCCGTTCAGTCAGAGGAGGGTCTCAGCTCTTCCAGTAGTTGCAGCCACAACCTCATCACCCTCCACCTCCTTGTTCTTTATTCTTCCTTTGGCCTTGTGACTCAGCAGTAGAGATGTCAATGTGGTGACAGTGTCATTTTCACCTAAACCAAACCAGAGTACCTCTACAAACCAGCTTGCACTATAACACCCATCAAAACCAAAGGAGCACAGGTCTAAGATATCTGTGAGGTCACTGAGCTCACACCTTCTTCGTGTGTCGATTGGGTTGGAGTAAGGGATTTGAGCCCACTTCTTTCTTCTGCCTTCCCAGGCCCCTAGTTGCTCCCCTGTCTTGGGCAGCACCCTCCTCTAACATTCCACTAGTCCTGGATCCCACCAGCACTGGACAATCCACACCTTCTCCTCCAGGGGCTTTGTCTGCTCTGATCTGAGCAGCTCTGACCCAGGCAGTTTTCTGGAAGGAGCCATCACTCCTGCTCCTATTGACCTTTCTTCTGGCCCTGGAGCTGAGTAGGGAGTGACCATCCTATTCCAGAAACCCAAGCCCATCTCACAAAATCCCCTGTACTCTGGATTTTTCTACTCAGCATGGGTCAGAAATTTTCCTCAACCTGAAGCCAGGGACTTTCTGAAGCCCAGTTTCCATCCCAAACCCTCACTAACAAGTCTGTGGCTGGCTAGAGACTCATCAAGAATAGCAGAAGGGAGGGTATTTTCTAGAAAGTTTACTAGGTGTTAACCTTTCCCTGGACTTTTTCCTCCATTATCCACAGAGTGGGTTATCCTTAAAGAGAAATTTGATATAAAGATCCAAAAGATAAATAATTCAAATCCTTCACTCCAACCCAAGAAAGGGACCTCAGACCACCAGCGTGCAGTTCAGAAGAGGTTACTGAACCCAGCTTAAGAACCAGTTGCATTACTCAGTGCTATCCTCCACGTCCTAAAAAGCCAGGATGCAATTGATCTTAGTAACAACATGACTGCATCCAACTTTTCCATAAACTTGTCTCCCTACTAGGCCTTTGCAGTTCAATTTTAGTTGGCCTCTCCACTTCTTTCTTCTGCCTTCCCAGGCCCCTAGTTGCTCTCCTGTTTGGGACAGAATTCTCTTCCAACATCCCACCAGTCCTGGATCCCACCAGCACTGGACAATTCCAGCAATCCCACCACGCCCTCTAATTGGAGGTCATTCGTTCATGCAGCTATAAATATTTACAGAGAACTCAGTATGTGTTAAACTCTAGAACATGAAGACTTTAGAAAATCTAATGCCATAAGTCATGGGTAGATTAGAAGATGGCACAACATATCTCCATATATGTGCTGAAAGCAGGGCAGAGGACAGTGTCCCCCTGTTTCATTTCAAAGTTCTGAGGTTTGAGGATCAGAAAAAAAGTCATTTTGCCTATAAAGAGTGCTGCCTACAGAGCCTATCACTCATCCCTGCTGTCTACAAGCACTATAGATTCCACCCTCAAACACCACCTTTCTTCCTGACCACAGCTGATCCCACTCACCCATCTTTTCTTTCAGAAGAGATCACTGGGGGCCATGAGGCCAAGCCCCACTCCTAACCCTACATGGCCTTTTTTTAGTTTCTGGATAAGAAAGATAGAAGAGGTGCTGTGGTATCCTGGTGCAAGGGGACTTCGTTCTGACAGCTGTTCACTGCCAAGGAAGGTGAGGAACAGCAGCAAGCCCACACATCCTGAGACCCCCATAAGGATCCTTGTTCTCTCCCAGATACCACAGACAGCAGGAACTTCCAAGGTGCTGGTTACACAAGCCCCTGAGAACTCATCAAAAGCAGGACTGGGGAGATGAAATGAAAGGCTGAGAGATAGGGCAGGTAAGCTCTGGGGTCAGAGGGCGAGAGGTCAAGGCAAGCCGCACAGTTGAGAAGAGAGGGACCACAATGGACAATTAAAGCTGTGGTAGAGGTCGAGAGCATGCATTAGGGCCCCAGTGCAAACTTGAACAACTTCACAATTCTGACTAAAAGCAAGAAAGGGCCCCTGGAAGTCCTACTTCAGGGTCCTTGAGAGCAGAGGGTACAGCTCCTCAGCTGGGGCCTACTTCCTCAGTTTCCCCTCAGCTGCAGCCCCAACCTGCCCCTATTCTAGCCTGCTCTTCACAGTTCCTAGCTGTATTCTCTGTGATTCAACAACAACCCCCATCCCCACTCTGCTCTCTGCATAGCTCAATAAATGTCACCCTGGGGGCCCACAACATCACAAAGCAGGAGAGGTCCCATCAGATCATCCCCTGAAAAGAGCCATCCCCCACCCAGACTAAAATCCTAAATGCTTCTTCAGCGACATCAGGTTACTGCAGGTAAGGCCCTGCTCCTGCCCTCCCTGGTTCAGGTGTTCCGCAGGTGTTACTCCTCCCACTGTGACATTGCTCCTGGCCTCCCTTCCATCCTGACATCATGGTGTCCAGGCCCAGAGACCATTTTCCTAAACTGGACTCTGTTTCTGGTGCCCCTCAACTGAAGAAAAAGGCCAAGCAGAATCCCGCTGTGTAGCCACTCTGGCTGCCCAGGGGCAAGGACAGGATGAAGCCAGGGAATTTGTATCTTATGGCCAGCTGGAGGATGATGGACCAATTGGCACTTGAGTGACTCCACTTTAGCAGGTAGAGCTGACAGTGCAGGAGGACCTAGAGTACAAATCACTTTTCTGCCTTTACGACAATGCCATCAACATTTGTGTAGGGTAGCCCCAAGAAAACAAAGACTGGCATCAAGGTGAGTTTCCAGCATTGCACAGACAGAACTCAGGGAAAGAGGAATTTGGAGTAGGTCTGAGGTATGAGAATGCCCAAATCCTCATGCCCCTAGCTCAGAATTTGGGCCACCTGGGTTCCCCCGGAATCCAGTCTTCAGTCCACTCCCTGAGTGGATCAGGAGTGGAAGGTGAGGGAGGATCAGTCATCCCAAAGGAGAATATCCCTGAGGATTGCAGAGAAGGGTGTGGCCTGAGTGGAGCTGGAGAGAAAACTCAGGGTCAGGCCTGGGAGTGAGAGGGGCAAGTGAGTCTGACCCTGGCCCCCATCCCACACACACAATTCCCTAACAGGGACCACCCACCCCTAGGGAGGCCAGGGGACAGTGCCAGGAGGGGGCCAGTTTAGCAATTCTTCTCTCTGCCCACAGGGGGATACAGAGGAGTCCCTATGTGTATAACAGCATGGTCCAGGGCACTTTATCTTATGGACAGAAAACGAGACCTCTTCAGAAGTCGTCACCAAGGTCTCCCACTTCCTGCCCTGGATAAAGAAAACCACAAAGGACCTCCAACAGCAGGCATATGGCTAACCTTCCTCTGTGCCTGACCATCTTTTCTGAGGCAGAACAAGAATTCAATGGGGGCGGGCAGGATTGCAATAAATGGAACTCTAGAATGAATGTGCCTGAAGTCTTATTTATTCATTGAACCACTTTCAGTCTGCAACAGCATTGCTCTAGGCAGCCCTCTACCGTCAGTTCTGGGTTTCCCTTCCTCTGTTCTCCCCCAGCCCTCCCTCCTCCCTGAACTGCATGATGTACAGTTTCTCAACAATTTTTCCACCACACACTTTTCTTTTATTCTCAGCTCTACAAGGTTGGCTTCCCCACTGCACAGATGGGCATCTGTAGCATTAGAGGTGTACTCATATGCTCTTTCACACACTTTTCATACTTTGCCCTCAAAAGATGAATCTCTCTGGCCATCAGGAATTTCTTATCATCTCTAAGCTAACCACCTTTATCAAGCCCCCAACACTTTGGCAGAGAACAGAGGCAGGGAAATGGAAAGGGGATAATTCCAGGGACCCAGGAGACCAGGGACCATGCCCAGTTTCCTGTTTCCCAGGCCTTTCTCTCCAGTGGGACAGACTCCTCCCACCATCAGAGTGTCTGCAGCTTACAAGGCTGAAATGTCCCTCCAATGAACCTCAGGCTCACTCAGGCCCCATTTTCCTGCCCTGCCCTGGCCCCAGCACAGAGCTCAGTCAATCTTCCTCCTCTCCAGCTGGCCTTTCCACACTAGCCCCTGTTTTCCTTCCAGGTTCCTCTAGCCACCAGCTCCTTTTCCTTCCAGCCCACCCTGGTTCCAGTCAGCCTTTCTCTCATCTCCTTAACAGAGTTCTCCTCTACTGATTGTTCCTAACAGATTTGAGCTGACAACACACCTGATGCTCCCACCTCCCACCTGGGCAGGGCTGGACCAGCATCTTCCAGAGGCCCAGGCGTGGCCACCTCTGGTGGAGTCACTCAGCAACCTCAGCCCCTTTCAGCCTGGCCCATCCTGGGAACCCAGACTCCCCCTGCTGGCAACCTGAGGTTATTGCGGCCTATGAGCCATCCATTGATGGACACGGATTGATCTCTTTTATCTTTATAACAGGCACACAATAGACTATGTCTTCATCTTTGGAAGCTTAGAATAATGAAAATTTTTCCTCTAAATTTTCCTTGCACCAGACAAATCAAATTGGCACAGATGGATCTGTATTTGGAATCCACAAGAAATCTTGTTTTGAAAATAATTGAATTATCTGTATTCTATCTGTGTTGTGCATGACAACCACCACCACCCCCAAAAAAATGCTACAATTCAAGTATGAGACAGTTCATTGTGACCAAGATGACCTTATTCAGTATCCTGTATCCACTAGCTGGGTGTGGTGGGGCACATCTATAATCCCAGCAACTTTGGATCCTGCGGCAGGAGGATCTCAAGTCCCAGGTCAGCCTCATCAATTTAGTGAGGCCCTAAACAAATTAGTGAGACCCTGTCTCAAAAAAAAAAGGGCTTGAGATGTTGATCAGTGGTTAAGTGCCCCTGGCTTCAATGCCTGGTACAAAAAAAAAAAGTCACTGGTGAGTTACATGTAGACAAACATTGAATCAAGTGAGACCAACATCAAAAAGTAGAGCAACTTCATTATAAAGAATAACAAATAAAATTCATGGATATGATAAAATAAGTTTAGCACATTGAAAAACAGGAAAACAAATAGACATAATTCTCTTACAATAGTCAATGGCCAACTACGAAGTCTATCCCTGAGAATCACAACACTGGTAGCAGCACAGGTGACAGAGGAGTTAAATGCACAAGCAGAAATGAACAAGTGGGTATTAGAGGGTGCAGGAGCTTGCAGCAATCTCTCAACAGAAATGCAGAGACCACAGAAAGTCAGCACAGAGTCCCAGGGTATAAACCTGAGCCAGCAGCAGAGTGTACAAGGTTTTCACCACCAGAGCTAAGGGATGATAGTCTTGTAGGACAGTCCAGATGGTCAGTCTTCCCCTCTATACCAGACAAAAACACTGAGCATGAGATACTTCGGGAAGAAAAAATTTCCTTATAATAAACATAGCACCATGCAGACTGGCCTGCTTTTGATGGTACTTGTTTCTTTATAATGATTTCTATATAAGTTTGTTTATTTCTCTCTCTTGACCTAGTAACTTTCATTTCTAGGACTTTATCTTATGTGTGTGCATGTGAAAGTGTGGGTGTATAGGTGGGTTATTCATAAAGTTGTTCATCACGGTATTAAATTCCAAACTGTAATCAGTACTAATGTCCAAGTAGTAAAATGGTAGTCCATGGCACATTCATCTTATGCATTGTGCAGCCATTAACATTGACATTATCTACTGTTATAGGCTGAAAACATTAATAGGCAAGTTACTTTTAAAAAATACTAATAAACATTTATTAAAAAGTTAAAACTCACTGACTAATGTAAGTTAAAATATTAATAATTTGTGCTTATCTTATTTGGAAGGATTTTCAAAAATAAAAAATAATCAGATTCAGTGTGGACATTTGGAAAATGGAATTTTCTCACCTTGTGCACAAATATCCTTAAAAATTCTGTGCATCTACTCTAGAGGCTGAGGTGAAAGGACAGCATGAGCCTAGGAGTTCAAGATCAGCCTGAGCAACAAAATGAAACCCTGTCTCAAAAACAAGTAAGCAGGGCTGGTGTTATGGCTCAGTGGTAGAGCACTTAACTAGCATGTGTGAGGCACTAGGTTCAATTCTCAGCACAACATATAAATAACTGAATAAAGTAAAGAGGTACATCAACAGTAGATACATAGATAGATAGATAGATAGATAGATAGATAGATAGATATAGATAGATATAGATAGATAGATAGATAGATAGATTATTTTTTAAGTGAACAAAAAGGGGCTGGAGTATAGTTCAGTGATCAAGTACCTGCCTAGCATGCACTAGACCATGGGTTCCATCCCCAGCACAACAAAGACCCTTTTAAAAAAAAAAAAGAAGAAGAAGAAGAGCAACTTTGACCTAGGCATCAGCCACACCAAGAAAACTGGTACTTGTTTCTTTAGAATGATCTCTATACAAGTTTATGAGGTGAAAGGACAGCATGTGCTTGGGAGTTTAAGATTATTCATTAGAGTTTTGTTACAATAAAATCTTAGGAACAATGGCAATGTCCAGCACTATTTGAGGAACAGTTTTTTTAATTATGTATAATTAAACACTGCGAAATCCTTACAGATTGTTATAAAACTACATTTTGTCATATGGAAGAATGTTCACAGTATGTTTAAGACAGAGGCGATTATAGGTCAGTATATACTACAATAAAATTTTTGCTAATACACATATTTTCCTGGCAGGTGGTTTTCTTCCTACATGACTATTTTTCTAATTCTTTACAATTTTTTTAATTTTTATTTTATTTATTCTAATTATATATGACAGCAGAATGCAATTCAATTCATATTACACAAATAGAGTACAATTTTTCATGTCTCTGGTTGTACACAAAGTAGAGTCACACCGTTCATGTTTTCATACATGTACTTAGGGTAATGATGTCTGATTCATTCCACAGTCTTTCCTACCTCTGTCCCCCCTTCCTTCCCCTCCCTCCCTTTTGCCCTATTTAGTGTTCATCTATTCCTCCCATGCTCCTCCTCCCTACCCCACTATGAATCAGCATCCTTATATCAGAGAAAACATTCAGCATTTGGTTTTTTAGGATTCGCTAACTTCACTTAGCATTATATTCTCCAAATCTATCCATTTGCCTGCAAGTGCCATTATTTTATTCTCTTTTATTGCTGAATAATATTCCATTGTGTATATATACCACATTTTTTATCCATTCATCTATTGAAGGGCATCTAGGTTGCTTCCACAGTTTAGCTATTATGAATTGTGCTGCTATAAACATTGATGTGGCTGTGTCCCTGTAGTTTGCTGTTTTTAAGTCCTTTGGGTATAAACCAAGGAGCAGGATAGCTGGGTCAAATGGTGGTTCCATTCCCAGTTTTTAAGAAATCTCCATACTGCTTTCCAGATTGGTTGCATCAATATGCAGTCCCACCAGCAACGTATGTGCCTTTTTCCCCACAAACTCGCCAAGACTTATTGTTTGTATTCTTAATAGCTGCCATTCTGACTGGAGTGAGATGAAACATTAGAGTAGTTTTGATTTGCATTTCTCTAATTGCTAGAGATGTATTTGTTGGTTGGTTGTATATCATCTTCTGAGAAGTGTCTGTTCAATTCCTTGACCCATTTATTGATTGGGTTATTTGTTTTTTGGTGTTAAGATTTTTGAGTTCTTTATATACCCTAGAGATTAGTGCTCTCTCTGATGTGCATGTGGTAAAAATTTGCTCCCATTCTGTAGGTTCTCTATTCACTTCACTGACAGTTTATTTTCCTGAGAAGAAGCTTTTTAGTTTGAATCCATCCCATTTATTGATTCTTGATTTTAATTCTTACACTATAGGAGTCTTATTAAGGAAGTCGGGGCCTAATCCGACATGATGGAGATTTGGGCCTACTTCTTCTTCTATAAGGTACAGGGTTTCTGGTTTAATTCCTACTCCTTGATTCACTTTGAGTTGAGTTTTGTGCATGGTGAGAGATAGGGGCTTAATTTCATTTTGTTGCATATGAATTTCCAGTTTTCCCAGCACTATTGTTGAAGAGGCCATCTTTTCTCCAATATACATTTTTGTTGCCTTTGTCTAATATAAGATAACTGTATTTAAGTGGGTTTGTCTCTGTGTCCTCTATTCTGTATCATTGGTCTACAAGTCTATTTTAGTGCCAATATGAGGCCCGTTTTGTTATTTTTGCTCTGTAGTATAGTTTAAGGTCTGGTATACTGATGCCACCTGCTTCACTATTCCTGCTAAGGATTGCTTTAGCTATTCTTGGTCTCTTATTTTTCCATATGAATTTCATGATTGCTTTTTCTATTTGTATGAGGAATGTCATTGGGATTCTTATTGGAATTGCATTAAATCTGTATAGTGCTTTTGGTAGTATGGTCATTTTGACAATATTAATTCTTCCTATCCAAGAACAAGAAAGATTAATTTTAAATTTTATGTATTATTTAAATAACTCAAAAGACTGTTTACTAAATATACCTTGGGTTCTAAAATGATATCCACTAACAAACTTTTAATAAAATGAGGGGAAATGTTTATGTTAAACAATTTAAAATACAGGATTCAAAACTGAACATGTTGTGATCATCCCGATGTAAAAATATACAAAGAATAAAATCTAGATAGAAACATCTCTATTAACAATGGTCAGTTAGGTAGTGGGATTGAGACTGATGTATTTCTTCTTTCATGTTTTAATTTATTCAGTATTTT